GTACTTTAACTCTTTTGATTTCTTTTCGTATTATTTCTTATTTTCTTATTTTTCTATTATTATCTCGTATCTTTATTATTATTATTATTATCAATAAATATATTATTATACCTCTGAATCAATCAAGTCGTCTTGCTTCTAGTTTTATTGTGAATACACTACCGTGTAGATTATAAATCTTAAGATAACTAAATTGAGTCACTACGTAAACTTAAAAGAATTACCACTCGAATACACTGTCTAACAGTTGCAATTCACAAGGATTGCACGTTAACATTACGATAAATTTTATAAGTAAAATCAATAATTTCAGTTGATCATATCTCAAAATTCTATAATTTCTAATCATTCTAGAAATACTTTCATAATATAAGTATCATGACTAAAACTAAAAACCAATATTATTATCAATGTATATTAGACACAATATATCGGTAACTCTCTTTATTAACACTTATGGCTACTGTACCATTTATGACAAATTTTGAGAATGATTCTCAAATTTCCAATCCGTTTATATACTTAACATATTGTTAGCCTTTATGCTTATATAATTTTTAATACAACATATAAGGATTTATTCTGAAATTTGAACCATTCTAAGTATCATCACACAAAAAAACAATATTTTTACTTTTACTGCTAAGAGTAAAAAGACATGTCTATTATATTTGGTGAATTCAGTTTGCTTCCTATAGAAACACCTTCTATCACATCCCCTGCTACAGCCGCAACAACTGATTTAATGCTTTTCTCACCAACATCAACAAATATAAATTCGTCGACTGCTATCATTCAACCAATATCTTCAACCACCAGCAATTTTAATCCTTTATTAAGACATAGGTTAGTTGATAATGTATATGAAAATGAAATAATGTTTTCCAGGAGTTTTGATGATTTATTAAATACTGATGAGTTAACAATTGATAAATGGTCAAAGAAAAGTAATGATAACAAAAATAACGGAGAATAACAAAAACAAAACAAAAACAATTATCAATAATTTAATTTTAAAAAAAACAGGTTTTTTTTTAATTTTTCAATTGTATTACAAAATTATTTAATTTTTTGAAATGGATATAATTAGAAACTACAATGAATTAGCAAATTCAATCTTAATTAATTTATGTTTGTAATTTCGTAATAGGGTTAAATAAATAAACCTAATTATTAAATTTTTTACTAAAAGAAAAATTTATGTACTCTATATAATTTTATAACACGTGATACCGACTACCAAATTTCAGTAATGATTCCAAAGGTGTTGAATTAACTTCTTTGAGATCACAAATCTTAAATTAGGGATATATACGTTTTTTAAAAAAGATAAAATTTAATATTTCGCGTTTAGACAATTATGATCTATATAAGATAATTCACATATTCTTCGCTTGATTAATTATAATTAATCAACTCGTGTTTAAATTATTTCAAGTTCCATGGTCATCCAAAAGTATTAGTTATCCCCTGAATTTTTCCATCCATCCATCCACCCATGTAACTTCCTTTTTGGGTTTGTAACACTTTTTGTGACATTTTTGTATGACTCTCTTTCGTATCGGATAACTTGTACATACCATATAATCATGACCAACAATCTCGAAAACAAAATTTATGTTACTGTATGATAAATATGCAAAGAATCCATCTCGGTGATCTTACGTATGATCCGTAAAACTTGATCTAATCTAAAAGAAAGATTATATATACTTTGAAAATTAAAAAAAAAATTAGAGTGGGTTATTTGAGTTATTAACAGCATTCTGTGCACGCTTTTTCAAATCACTTGAAATTCTTTTTAACTTCTTAATAACGAACAACCTTAT